GAATTAATTTGTAGAGTTCATTACAGGGGGCTCTATCATGGGGCCAATGCTCTATCTTTACGGTCCTTGCAAGACCGCCTAATGGTCTCAATAAAGACTGACCAGGCGATTCAACCTTCTAAAGGAACATGTCGAGGGATCCCAATGTTCAAATGGGGAGTGATAGTAGAACAGATTTAGTATAAGAATTGGGCAATTGGATTCCCTCGACACCGTGCTTTAAATCTGCACCGAATAAGGTTGAGCAACTTTAATAAAATGAAAAAATGCAAGTTTGAAGTACCTAATACATATTTTTACGCATTCTATATTTCATAAAGGCGATTCTCTTCTGCAGGCAGGCAGGCAGGAAGGTTTTCTGTCGTTTTCAAACTGCTGTTTTTGCCTTAAATATTTTTTCTGGTACCGCATCTGGCCTGTAACGATCCCAAGAGCAAGTTGAAACTTTCGAAAAAGACATTTCACGAAAAACAACAGTAGACGATTATTACCAGTTAAACTCGTTCGCGAACTATTATTGGCCGCTCGAAAGGAAATAGGGGAAATGTATTTTACTGTAAATATATTCGCTGTCACGATTTTCCATTTGCGTGCACTATGAAAGTAAAAATAAAAGCCAGGCAATCTGATTTTTGCTCTAAACCCTCTGTTCTATTCTCGTGCCCGTATTAGAAGCGCAAGGGGATAAATTCGAATGCGTGCGTACGTATTGTTATTGAAATTCCCGGGATTGCGCTTTATATTTTCCAGGAAAAAGTACATACGATTTATTATGTTGGGCAAAGGAACGGCGACGATCTTCCAAGAATAACAGACAGACATTTTGTATTGGGATTTAGCGTTGAAATGCACGGTGAAAATCTCCGACGTGAGATAATTTGCGTTCTTCCTGTAGTAGCTATCCATAAAGTCACTCCTCGGAGTGGAAAATATCCATTGATGGGATTTGGTCGAGATATAAATCCAGCTTTATTGCACAGCGTGCTTTGCCAGGTGGATTGATTAATACTTATTAGCACTCTTCCAAAATAACATCATCAATTACACGGTTTAGTAGCAGAAAGTAGTTTTCTTTGGCGAATCTTTGGTTATTTGATTCGCCGGCAATTTATTGGTTCTCAAGCAATCGTCACTTCACAATTTCCCGTGTAGGTAAG